TGTGAAAGACATTTGATAGGAATGATATGAACATATGTATACAACTTTTTTGCTTTGTAAAAATATTTTAATAATTATATATAAATTAGATCTTACGGGAAATTGTCAGTGAAAAAGTTAACTATTATTTGTATGAACTTGTTGATGAAATAGAGCGGCATACTGAAAAGCTTGTATCGGTTCCAACCTTATAGAGATCTCTAGCTTACTGTAGAATTATTCAAAAAAAAGTTGAATTAGTGTTAGTTTTATTTTACTGTAAAAATAAATATTTCTTAACCGAATTTGTAAGCAAACTTGTTTGCAAATTTTTATATGGTTATAATATTAGTTATATTGCATTATCACTAAAAGGCTAATCACAAAAAGTTTTAGCTAATCCATATGTTTAATGGGTGTTTTGTCATTATTATTTTCTAATTTTACAAAATGACCCTGTAAAAGTTATATACATATCATCTAATTAAATCATAAGCTATTACCAGATGTGCAATTTTTGTCAGTTGGGTTTATTATATATTGATACATCCATATCATAATAAGATAATTTAGTATACTGAAAAAGTATACAAGTTTTGTGGCACAGACAAAACTCTTAAGGTTAGGGTTAGGATCTTGAGAAAAGTATTTTATATAGTAAAATTGTCCAACAAAAACTTTTTGTTATAGCATAAACAAATATTTGTTTTGAATCTTCCTGCTCATATTACATTATACCTAATCTTGAAATCTGATTCATAGTTCAGGTGAGCTACGCCACCAACCTTGTAAACATTTTCAGTATGCGATAATTTATATGTAAAAGTTGACAGAGAATTAAAATGTGTAATTATTAGATAGCTTTTACAAGCCAATTTGCTTACAAAAGACCATCATTATTTAAGAAAAAATTTAATAATTTTATGTATTAATTTTATTTTAGCTACATAAGGAAGCAAAAGAATACAATGAACTTGTACGTAGTGCTTTTATGGTATGAATAGATATGCATTATCAGTCAGACCAACTAATATTTATTAACGAATCTGCCAAAGATAACCGTTGTATAATAAGGGGCTATGGCTATTCAGAAATTGATACTTGTGCAACAAAAAAAGTAGCATTTATATGTGGGATATGGTATACCATTTGTCCAGCTTTATCATTACAGAGAATAATTGCTATTAACATAACTGAAGGCAATTATACGAAATCTAGATTTAAAGATTTTGTTATAAACAAAGTTGTATGTATCAATTAAAAAATTATTTTGTAATAAAAATTTTATTAATTTTATTTATTTTGCAGTTACCCCAAATGAATTCTTACCCACATTCCAATAGTGTCTTAGTCTTCGATAATATATATATTCATTATGATAATAGATTACTCGAATATTTAGATGCTTTTGGAGTACATGTAGAATTCCTTCCCCATATTCACCTGATCTCAATCTAATTGAGACAGCATTTTCTGTAATTAAAAATTTTTTACAATGATATTGTTACTTTGTCGAGAACTCACATAATCAATGTATCCTTTATTGGTAGCATGCACATAAATCACTTCAGAAATAGCTAAAAATTTTTATGATAGTTCAGGATTTAAATAACTATTATTATACTTAAATAATATTAGGGTAGTAACTAACCCTTAGTAATAGCTTGTGCTTTTATATCATAGTTATAAAAATTTAATATTATTGCATCAGATGTATTAATGCAATAAATACCACTTTAATAAAATATTTAGTAATTCTTTTATCTAAGCCCGTATCAATATCAATTTTACTGTAAGATATTTAGAAGCAATAATTAAATTATAATCTTTCCGAAACCTCTATTACTAATCATTATAGGTCTGTAAATCTATTATGCTCCAAATCACTAGTATCTCTATTGGAACTAGCTTTTTAAGCTATTTTTGTGGTATGTTTTCTATGACTTTTGAAAGCTAAAAAATATATATATACATATACAATTTTTATATTTACTATCTATCTATATAATACTGTTATATACTGTAATATGCATTTAGTTTAGAATCATTTCTTTATAGTGACACTATTATTAAAAATAATCTTATATTTTGGATATCATTTGGGTTCGGTACCACTAATTCAAAAATAGTGAACTCATTAGTATTTAAATTCTAAATACGAACAAAAGGCTGTTTGAAGTATAAAACTCTTAAAAAGTTTAGTTAACATTTGAATTCAATCTAAACAAATGTAAAGAAAGCAATTAGTATACTTAGTATAGGAAAACTAAAATTATATCTATTGTATTATTTCATGTATTTTTTGAATTTGCTTTGCTAAAATATTTTGATTTGTTGCTTGATGTTTTAGCTTATTATATACATCACATTCATATACAAAAATCCAAACCATGTTTTATACAAAGCTATTATTAGATTTATATGCTACTAATGTTTTTACAAAATAGTTTATATATGCTTTTGATATTAGCCAAGAATGAAATATATCAATATCATTGTGTATATATAAGGGCCCGTATAGATATAAAAATAGTATTTTTTTAGTGCACAGTTCACAAAAAAAAAAAAACAACTTATTATGTCTTTAAAGGTTGGACCACCTTTGCTATATTTTTGACGCATCTGTCTCACAATTTAGCTAAGTTTTTTGGAATTTTGGCAAGTCTCCGTGTGTATATCTGCTGGTAGAAATATAATAATAAAATTCAATAAAACTCGAATCTTAACTATTATAAAGACTTAAAAAAATAACAAACTTACCAAATAATATAATATGCAAGGTTATCTTTTCTGTAAAAATTAAGGCTCTTTTGGTATGTTCATTCTTTTTGGCAATTGCATAAAAATAGCCTATAACTATTGAATCTATTTTAAATTAATAAAAATTGTTTTTTTTTTACATCTTTTGTTAACAGCATTATCATATAACATAAACCCATTATTTTTATCAAGATAATTACCAGTTTTGGTTGCAATTGTACTTGTCAGCATAATCATACAAGGTTCATCAGGCACTAATAGTATTTACTCCACATTGTTTAAATTTATCATCTGACAATTTGCTCAGGTGCCTTACTGAAATTTGTTGCAATTCAAATTTATTTAACAAATTTTGATAAAAGTTATTAGTTCCTTCTTTTTCATCTATTTCTTTCAGTAAATTGGCCATAGTTGGTAAAGTATTTGGACTATATTGATTGGCTTGAAATTGAAGTAGACCGAATTGTGTTAGTGTATAATATGAGTTAAATGGCATTGAAGATGCATGTAATATAAGTTATATGGGATCAAAGGTGAGGTATTATACAAATTAAATGGTGTCAAAAAAGGTTGAAATGCTGAAGGCCTGGAAATCCAATTGCTTTGCAATAATGTTTGCGATAATGGTATTTGTGGTAGTATAGATGTTTGTGATATTTGTGGCAATGGTATTTGTTGTAGCAAAGGCGTTTGTGATATTTGTGGTGATGGTAATATAGAAGAATGTATTTTCTTAAAAGATAACTTGGTATAAGAAAAAAGTGAATGTGTTGGAGAGTCTTTAAGTGTACTTAAACCTTTATTCTAAAAATCTATGTTATTACATATAACTACGTACGTACCAGACAAATTATAATTTATACAATTAATTCAAAATAAAAATTACCATATCTGATGCCCATATCGAAAGCATCATAAAATTAATTTCTACATGTAAATCTTTATTACTTTTTTTGTTAAAACAAGATCGATTGTGTATGTTACAATAGTATTCTTTTCAAATTTCTAGAATATTCTCAGCTATTGCCTTTTCTTGTATGGACAAGGATGATACAGTTGAAGCTTTATTACTATTTTTGTGACTATTGTTATCTAAATTTGTATTCTAAACCATTTATACGTACGTACAGTATGTACACATACATATATAATGAACAATACAGTAATTAATTATAGTAATATATAATATAATACATACAGTACATAAAAACTAATTACCTTTTCATTCTTTTTTTGCTTGATTGTTTGTGTGATTGTTATGTAAATTCCTATATCAACTTTTTTTGTAGCCAACTTTAAACAATCAGCTTTAAATTTTAAAAAATCTTGGGTATCAGCTAATTGAGTACCCACACCAGTTTCTCTCTGTGTTTTAAATGCAATAGTATAATCAGTGGTATGAGGGTAATATCTTTTGTCAACATAATAATTTTATTATGAATCGACGAAAGAAATTCATCTACAGTTGACAACAATTCCTTAAACCATTTGGCTAGTAATAAACTCCCTTCTGAAGTTTTAATAATTAGTTTATAACCTATTTCTAATTTGGTATCATCATCACTAATTGTTGCTTCATCTTCATCAGATACAACAGATGGAGAAGGTGACGAAAATATTTTCTAGAAATAAAAATGAAAAAAATTATAAATGAACTTATATTATATATAATAAAAAAAATAAAATTACATTAATTTCACTTATAGTTTCACTTATGGAATCCATCCTCATATCCATTACTAAATTTGTAGCTTTATTTATTACTACATCTGTCGCTTTATCTGTTGTCTTATCCATTGCTTTATTTGGTACTATTTCTAAATCTGTTATTTTATCAATTGCTTTCTCCATTGATTTTTTTTAGTTTTGTTAGGATTCAATTTGAGTAAAACATTGTGATACCAGCCACAAAGAGAAAACTTAAAAGGCTTTTTTAAATTTATTTGGTAATTATATTCAAAAACTCTCCCATGGATGTATTCAAACTTTGGAGCAGCCCAGGTAGGCTCATATTGACGTGTATACGCCTGCTTGACATGAATGGTTCTATTTTTTTTTGTTGGGACTAAAGATTTTTTACAACTGCACGTGATCTGGCGCAAGTCTACTGCACAATACAAGCATTTCCGGCATCCAAAGCAAGTTCCACGATGATATTTGAGTTTGGTATTTAAAGTGTCTGCCATGAAGAATTTGTTAGTGTGAAAAAAGAAAAAAAAATTTAATGATTTTAGAATTTTTTTATTTTTATAATTTATGTTTTGGATTCCCGATTCCCAGATTCTCAGATTCTAAGTGGTGAGTGATGCATAAAATTTACTGATCACAGTAATTTGAAAAGCGCGGTAATATTAAATATGACAATATAGTTTTAAAATCGCAATATTTATACACCATTTACAAGTTACAGAATTGAATTTGTTTTACTATAAAGAGAGTTAGAACATTTTAAAAATACTCACTTTTTGTGGGCCAATCATATAGCGCTGCACTATGATAGTATCTAACACCCATACTTTTAATAGTTAAATCTATCATAATCATTACCTATTTTTAATTACGTAATAAAAACTTTTGCAACACTATAATCTTTATTTTTTTTGTCATATTTCCTTTTTGGTTTGTATCACTTGCATAAATAATTCCATGGATTTCGCGAGTCCGTTATTATGCTGATATGCTGGGTAAATAAATATCATGACATATAAATAAATAAAAGTAATTTGAAACGAGTTAGTACCATACAGCGTGAACCATAATACCCGGTGTAACAAATAATGTAGATCAATTTTTTAAAATTTCATGCAGGTGGCTATTGTGAAGCACTCATGTTTTTTGACGACTTTTCACGATACATTGATCAGAATCAAGTAATTTTGGTATCATTCGATTCCTCTTACGGAGACGAATCGAATGATATTAAATTCGTTTGATTTGAAGTGCTAATATTCGAGTAATAGACAAAAAAACGTAAATTTACTAATATTTTTGGTACCGACACATAAGAATCTAATTCAACCTGATTAATCAAGTTAGTACGTACATACCCGGTGTAATTATTAATCAATTATATGTATATGCACTCTATGCTGTGCTATACTTATCGTTATCTAATACGTATCCTGTAATTCTGTA